TGGCACCAAATGGTCACAGAACTGCTTTTCGGAGGATGTTCACCAATTCCATTGGTGATGTGCCGACGTCCAATACAAATCACTAAAGGCCAAAAAAACACATAAAATAGACTCCAGGTGTGTTGCATGTTACACAAGGCTACCTTTGGACGAATATCCGCAGATGCTTTACTCATATATAATTCTGTGCAAGCCAAATTTGGGTGTCTGACAATAAAGGCTCCCCTCGAGCTCACTGTGTTTCAACTTTCAACCTGAAACTTACTGGGAGACAAAAGTCATAGTACAGCAAAGAGTAGGGACCTTTGAAATCCTCTGGGACCCCGTCCCAAGTTGTTTTCTGGATTTCGTCCTTTTACAGGAACGTCTGAAGAATGGATGCATTTTGCCATCAGCCAAAATACAGTCTTCGTCACCTGCAACACCTGGGTCACACATGCTACAGATTCGAACTTGGACCGTTTCTTGGTCGTTCTTCGCGTTGTTGGTCGGGTCGCGTTGTCACACCGGTTCCGTGATCACTTCTTTCGGTCGAAACCCAACACGTTGTTCCATCAGGTCATGTCAGGCATCATCCAGCGAGGCGTGAGATCCACCATGTCCTGCACCACGGTGAGGTGCGTGGCGTAGCTCATGGCCGCCAGGCTCACGGAGATCCAACTGGTCAGAGTTTGGGTTCCTGAAAGTGGGCTGAGGAGACAAGACTCCGTGGAGTCGGTGTAGTCCTTTTTATGGGATCTTGAACAATCCTGCGAGATGGGGGACATGTAGTCTATAGTTTCATTGTTAAACATGTTGGATCTTGAAGAATAAAGCAGGATAGTAGAGGAATTAATTTAATGAAAAGGGTTCCCGGAATTAATTTCCCAGGGTCGGAAGAAGAAAACATCGCCCAGGGTGATTCTGTGGAATGTGCTTTTTCACTGATATTGCTTTGCTACTAGTTGACTTTGAGACCCTTGCCTGACCTCTTCTGAGGCGTTGCCTGATTCCTGCAAGTCTGACCTCAAAATCATGTTCAAAAGAAACATGTTGAAACTCATCGGAATCAGTGCTCCAGTAGTACAAAAGCCCAGGGGAAGTGAATTGAATTAATTGTTTAGGGGGTGGGAAGAATGTGCAAACTTGAACTTGGAGCCATGGGAAAAAAGGAGCCTAGTTAGTTTTCTATTGTTCAGCATTCAGCATCCTTGCTTAATGACTACTAATGCTACTGACTACGTGTACAGTATATCTTGTATATTATACAGAATTACACAGTACACACATTTTAACATCCAGTGTATAGTCATCCTGAAGCAAACACAACATGGAACATGTGCAAACCATTGAGAACATTTGTTTTGGAAGGGTCTACCTCAATTCTACAAAACGATGACTGTAAGTTCTGTAAGTTCATGTCTGTCCAAGCTGCTACCTTCAAATAAAAGGTTTATACAAGCTGCCGGCGCCAAATCAATTCCCTATCACTAGAAATTCCCTCTATCGTCATTGGGGCACTCAAAAAATGTCATTTAAGCAATCTCAATGCTCCGAGCGCACCGGGCAAAAGGAACAGGCCGATGAGCAAGTCCTCAGGAAAAGGCTCCCGGGCTGTTTTCGTGTATCTGTGTGTCTCTGCTTAGGATCTCCCAAAACGCCTGAGGGAAAAGGAACGCATGAAAAATGCACTCATTGGATTGGCGTACTCAGTGTGTTTGTTTGTGTTTTGTTTTTTTTGACAATAAGTGGAGGCCATCGCTAGTAGGTTGGAGGCCATCCCAATTATGGTGGAGGCCATCACTGGTAGGTTGGAGGTCGTTCCTATTAGGTTGGAGGCCATCCCAGTGTAATTTGTTTGTTCGTTTGTTCTTTTTTCAACAATATGGTGCTGGGAGGCTCTCCAGACTTGGCCCCCCTGAAGTGCTGCAAGCTGACAAAGCCACTGGGGTGAGATGCCCCGCTCAGTCCGCTAAAAGTGTCTAACACATTGTAAAAAAAAAAGAAATACGGTCTCGGACTCGAACAAACGGGTCTTGGACCGGTGCTTTTGCGCTAGGCGTCCAGGTGAGAGAGGCAGCGGCAGAACAGCTTGTAGTTTCTCTGCCGAAGCTTCAGCATCCTTGGGCTAGCGGCTCGTTCCGTGGCCACCTGTTGGATTGTAAAGCCTCTTCGTCGTATGGAGTTCATCAACATCCAACAATATAGTTATAATATATAAGTGCCTAGATGTCCCTCTCCCAAGAAACGCCAAGACTCAGGAAGTCCCACATGTTTTTGCTGGTCCTTCGGCCCCTTGGCGACGAACTCCACCAACGTGAGTCTATCGAAATGCCCATTTTGTTTGCAGGTGTCGCACAGGGACCATTCGATATTCAAAAAACATCAAAAAAACAACCAGCATCCAGCGTCTCGCTACGCTCGTTGTTCGGGCGTCTCACCAAGCGTCTCTTCCTCCACCCGCGCCTCCTTCTGCGAATCCACTGGCTTCGACTCCCTCAACGAGAGAAGCCATCGGCCCAGCTCGCTCCAGTCCGCCTCCCACGGACTCCAGTCGACGCAGAGTTCCGAGGAAACGAGCGGTGGAAAGCTTCTGATAATTTAATAGACACCCTATGGGGAATCCACCGTATTTTTGCAAAAAAGGTAACATTGAATATATATAGCTCCAAAATTGACGTCCAATCCACAAAGCATACACGCCAAGATCATCATGAAGGCCAAACTGCTGAGTAAGCTTCTTTGCTGTTCCCTAGGCATTCTTCTGCTGCAGTTGCATGGACTTTCATACTGTGTATACTATTGACATAGACTATGAATATCTGTAAAACTGGTTGTTTTTGTGTAAAGATATATGTGAATCGCCTGCGTCAGTTTGGCATGCACCGGAAACCAACAAAGAGCCACCGTCAAAGCCCAAGACATGGCGTCCATGCAGGCGCTCCGCGTTCCGCCTGCGGTGTGTCGCCACCTGAAGGCCGTGGAGGCCCGGGCTTGCGCAGCCCTGACAATGTGATTGAATAAGGGATCATCTCCTTGTTCATCTTCTTGTTAATGCTTTTGGACCCGCCAAAAAGGGGAGGTCTTGGGGACCCATTAACCCACAGTCTGTTGACCCACAGTCTTGGTGACATATCTCGGGAATTTGGAGGATGATCTTTCACTATCACATGGGGGCGAGCTGAAGCTTGACTAGCCATGGCCTCCGTAGAGCCAGTTTGGATCACATCATCATCGGTCTGAGCGCACTCTATATAAGGTTGCTGTAACCCACCTTGTGTTAATTCATACATAAGACTCCTTTGTCCTGAACCGCAGGAGCCAAAACGAGCGGGCAGGGATTCCAAGTGCATCAAACAATGATCGAACAATGCCGTACATTCACAAATGATTTCGAACAATACTAAAGCCTTACTACTATGCCTTACTATACATTTGCAGTCTTGTTTTGTTCCATCATGGAGGTCTCACGCCAGGCTCTGCTCCAATCTGCGCCAGGCTAAACGGCTCACACAAAACATAAACCAGTAGACGTTCCAGACTAGGCCATTAGGTGACCGTTATTGGAGGACCGAATTGTAAAACATACAGTATAACATGGCACCGCTTGCCGGCTGCGGTTCGTAGAGGCCCAGTGCCCCAGCCAAAACACATTGGATAGTGGATCCCTAAACACATGGCAACCCGTGGACACCGTTTCAAGTTTCTTCAATCTGTTGAGGGACCTCAGAAAGAATGATTGCCATGTTGCCCTCTGACCTGGGCAAGTAGGCTAGTCACTAGTCAACGAACAGGACACAAATCACCAAATTCATCCAAGTTCCAACAAAGGCCATTGAGGAGTTGATCATAGCTTAGTCTTTTGGGTGCTTGTTGGTTTTCTCAGTATTTGATGTTATTCAAGAACCTGGGGACCTGCCTTCTTCGAACTGTAAGGCACGATCACCTAGAAAATGACTAGAAGAGTCCACCAGGCTTAGTTCATCTATACTGTGTCGCCTCTATGGGCCCTTGTTTCCCCTGCTTTGGCACTGAAGAGTTTAAGTTAAAGCCTTTTCCCAGACTTCAGGATTCTCCCAATGAACACGCAGTGAACATTGACCAAGACCTTCGCTTGTAGCAAGATAACGGGTTCCACAACGGTCCCGCAGCTTTTTGTGCTTTTGACATGAGTCTGGAAATGCTTCACCTGTGTTTTCTCAGTGTTTCCGAGCTTTCTGTCTTGATGCACGTCCCAAAAATTTGTGGTATTCTACCAATTCGGCCCTGCTTTTTAAAGAATCTACATTGTGCTTCGATGTCTCGGCCTGCATGTTTGGGCTTGCAGCGAACTTACTTTCAACCTTTCTTCGACAACGCTCCGGTATCCTTCCACAGCGAACCTCTATGGTTGCGACGCCACTGGAAGGCATATACATAGACTTTTAGCTGCTTGTTCAATTGTTTCTGGCCATCTTTCCAAGCCAGCTCTCTCGGCTTGAACAGCTTGAGGTCTCGCCACATTCGGTCGCATACTTGGGTTCCATTCAATCGAGAACCGCTCGACACACGACCTTGCAATTTCTTTACAAACTGCATATCCTTGTGTGACACACTCTTGTGTGAAAAAATACATGGTTACATCCCCGAAGAATATCCCACCGAACATCATTAGCCCCCCACCCACCCACCCACCCAGACACCCCTGCACAGTGCGTGTGAACTCGTCCCCGAAGTATGTCCAACATCACGTTCATGCGTATACAAGTACGCAAAGGCAAAGAAAGGACAAAAATAAAAACGGGACCGTTACAGAACCCGTTAGCTGCAACAACCTCAGCCTGGTTATAACTGCAAGGGACCTGAAGACAAACTGTAGTCTGAAAACAAACTCCACAAGTTCATCCTTAAGCTCATCGCAAGCTCGCGCCCATCTTTTGATCCTTCATGAAAAAAACATGTGTGTTCTACTGTGTTCTCTGCAAACTATGCAGTGACATGACATGAACACTGCCCTTGACGATCGTCGTCCCCTTCATCTCCTCCATCTCTTCCTCCAAGGAGACGATGGCCAAGCTACCGCGCCTGCTGGGGACGTGGCGACGCACGGCGACGTAGGTCGCGTCCAGGCCCAGGGTCCCGTCTCCAAATTCTGCCCATTTGAGGACCATTGGGTTGAGAGGTTGAGAGTGAGATCTCTTTATGTTGAACGAAGCTCCAACCTACTCTCAGTCTTTGCACACGTCACATACTGTATATATATATATATGTTCAGCCCCCCCCCCCCCGCCCCCCCGTGCCCAAAGAGAGTTTTGACAGAAAAATTAGGAATAAATTTTAAAGTTTGCAGGGTAAAACACGGCAGCTACAGTTAATACAAGTGTGGACAGATTTAATTGGTTCAATTGTCATGCCATGATTTGGTTGATCTACGTTTGGGCAGTTGAAGATTAGATAAATTCAGAAGAGAAGTTTTGATTTAGACAACAGGAGGCATCTGTTCTTGGTGATAGAGCAGAGTGCAGCCGGAATGCACGATGCAGATTGTTTTCGCTACAGCATGAAGGTTCAAATCTAGCCACGAAGCTCCTCGAGCATGTGGCCTGTGGCTGCCCAGAGGTTTTGCGTGCGGTGCCAGTACGTCCACTGTGCAGCGCGCACCTTGCGAGCTAGAATAGCAGAGCCAACCTTTCCGGCCGCGAATTTCAATCATGACCGTAGATGTCCCCAAAACCGGTCAATAGTTTGAGTGCCAGCTTTCACTGTCACTGTCTTCCCGGTGGGCAGCTTGTGTGTCCGGGTTTTGGTATAGTGAGGTTTTACCCAAACTGCTTTGCCTCTCACAACGATCCTCTTCTTCTTGTGCACCACATTGTCGTGGATGACACCTGGGATCTTCGTTTTGTATGCCTTTGCGCCATCGGTGTGTAAGATGACGCTGCGGCCCTCCAGGAACTTCTTGGCAACAGGCTTCCAGTCCCTTTTGGCGATGGGACCTGGGCCAGGGGATCGCGCAGAAGTGACTCTTGAAGGGAGCCGGAAGAGGACTAATGTCGTGGGATGCCCACGTTCCACTTAGCCACCCCATTGCTCCCACCGGCCTGTATTCTGCTGCATTTCCATTTCTTTGCTCACGTCCACTTCATCTGCCTCGACATTACACCACTTGTGCTTGGCTCCAAATTTGATGTGCTTTTGCTTCTTGGGGACATGCTGGCTGCGAGCCATCTCCAGATTCGCGTAGATTCGTGAAACTGGCTTGTGGTTCATATTGATGATGGGAGCAGAAGAGACTGGCACACCAGCAAGGGCGCAGCATAGAATAGCTGCTCGTTGGCCTAGTGGCGTGGAATGAGGTCCACTACCATGGAAGAAGATAGGGTGGAAGTCGTGAGGCTGAAGGAACTTTCTGCACGACCTGGCTCCGCATTTGTGCGTCCAATTCTTTCTCTCTTGCGAGAATCGCAAAAGGCCGAGCTTGCCCACACCACAGTGAGGACAAGTCTTTCCTGCCCACTTCGGAAGCATCTTGTCCTTTTAGAGCTGCCGGAGCAAAGCACGCGGGCCCATTGAAATGAGGCCCTGCACTGATACACCAAATCGAGGGACGCTTCATCTGGGCCCGGCTCTTGCCTCTCTTCGGTACTGGCCAAGGGCTGCGATACTTCATAGCAAGTTTCGGCATGACTGGCAAAGCACACCGGCAATGGAACAGCGCTAGATGACTACCGAGCTGAAGCCAGAGGTGGTCAAATCACACAATTGGTTTTTGCAAGAGACAAGCAGCAACGAAAGGGACATATTCTGAACGTCAACTTCCAGCCGTGAAGAAGTAGTACTCAAGGTATGAACTCTTAGATGACATTGCGCACATTAGCTTGAACAAGACACAGCAACAAGACAGAAGTGAGGTTGAAATCTTAGACTGTACACTGCATGCGCTGGTAAGCATAACACGTTTTTTCTCCGTGAGAAGATGTGGTCGATGGAAGCAGCGCTGGACATATGCAGGACAGCTACACGTCAGTACTATCTACTGTCCCAGTCATTCAGTGATCATTGCAGCGAAGAGCAGCTCACAAGCAAAAGACACAAAATTGGATATGTCATCAGAAAGTAGTCGACTACTCATCATCGGGAGCTTCGCCCACCTGTGTGGTATTCCATCCATTGAATCCATCAACTCCTCCATGGCCATCTCCAACTCCATCGCTTCAGGTTCATCATTTTCAGGAAGACCCAACTCGGCATTTCCAGGATTCACGACAGGACAGGAAGGCATAGAAGGCAATGAAGGCAAGGACGTTGTGATCCGAGGACGTTTGGCTGGCGATGGGGCGTCCAGTTCAATGATAGTGGTCGAGCGCCTGGTTGGAAGATTTGCAAACTTGGTCAGTGGCTCCTTCTTCACCTCCCAGTTTGTCCATCCATGGCTGGCTACGTCAGTGTCCACCTCAATCGGAGATCTGCGACACCCATTGGCCAACCACGCATGCCCATCCTGAAACTCTTGAGTTCCATCTTCATGCAGGGAACATTGTGCGTAGCTGCCTCTCGATTTGCCTTTGCCCTCGACACCGCTTCCTTGAAGACTTTCTCCTCAGACTTGCGGATGGCTTCTTTCAACCATTCCTCAGAATACAGGTAAGGCAAAAGATATGAAGATGGACGAGTACAGAACACACGAAGAAGTGCAAAAGGTTTTGACACATAGACATAGATGCAAAGATGGTTCAAACAGATGCAGTTATGGACGCAGACGAGGCTCTTGTTCCCAGATGGTGTTTTCGTGAAAGGACGCAGGAGCTGGGCCACCCTCCAAGAAGTTCTTCAAGACTGGCTTGCAGGAGTCTTTGAGGATGTCTAACTTCGACCAACATCACCCCCCTTTATCTATGGGGGGGGGGGTCACCACAGAAACGGTTCCACCATGTTTTGCGTTTTGGTCAGAAACCACAGAAATGGTGCACCCCGATTGCATCAGCAGTCTTTTTTCGCATCGCTCGGTTTCGTTCACATGGATCGCCCCATGTGGCGCTTCTAAGTATCCCCAAGGGAAAGGCTTGCGCCAAATGTTACCAGAACAACACCGATCTTCATCCTAATGTGGCAGGCTGTAGCAAGATGAGCTTTTCTTTGGGCCAAGCCATTCCCAATACCCCTATATCGATTCACCATGTCACACAGAGTGTAGAATGCACACGGCATCCAGAGACGGGACAGCTCTCACGTATCTTCCCAGAATCAAATCGCGGCAGATTTCAGAGGCCTCCATCGGATGTGGATATGTCATGGAAGCACGTCATGGAAGCCGAATCCACATGTTTCATACATTACAGCTACCGAATTTGTACAAAAGGTTTTGTTCAGGAGCGTTGATTCAAACCCACTGCGTGTTTTCACAGCAAAGAGGTTGCTGTGCGGCATGGCTTGTTGCCGGCTCACGCTGGTTCAGCTGGGGTGAGTCCAGCCTCAGGGAGCGTCTCTGATCCGACGAGCTTGGAGGCGTTGGGTCCGAAGCCCACGTTGCAGGTAGAATATGCCCCGGCCGTGTAAATGGGGATAGGGATGGATAGGGGGAACGACGATACATTTATACCGAGCGTTCGTATGTGTTCATGTTTCATTTCCTGACAGGCCTGGGCAGAGCGGGACGCAAATCTACACAGGGGGCTGATGCAATATGCAACAAGGCGGACAGCTCAAAACCCCTCTTCAAGGAGATGGTTTCATGAACGGAGTCTATATATCTTGAGAGCCGGTGATATGAAATGGGATGGATTCTCTGATACTCTGCTGCCCCCATCTAAAGATGCACTGGGATGCTTCATGTGGGAAACCATCGAGAGCGATCGGGTACTATGTTTAATGTGTTTAGTAGTCGTATTTCTTTGGTGTGTACCATGGACGCAGGATGCATTTGTCTAAAAACAATGCCCCTTAGGGCTATGGCTGGCTGTGATGTACATGGAGTTTTTCATTTTTTACCCATGTTGCAGGAGCTGGGATCAGAACATGGCCAAGATCAAGGCCATGGTCAAAGCCCTGCGGGAGGACCTCGCCCACGCAGAAGACCGAGCAGGACGGTGGATTTGAACCCTAACAGGCTTCTATATCCATGCAAAATTCCAAAGATTCATGTCACCCTGGAGCTTCCAACGATTCATGTGGCAAGTGGGATCTTTTGCATGCCAAAACTATGGTTCTGGGACAAGGTATGTTTCACCAAACCAATCTGCTTTGCCAAAATGATACCAAGAGGTCCCAGTGATAGTTTTCGACTGTTTCTGATGTGGACTTGATGCTATATATTAAACCATGAAGCTTGGGGGGCGCAATAATGTTTCCACGTTTCTTTTTGCCATCATCTGAGAGTGGAAAAAATGAGCAACTGCCCGCATTCGGCCCAGGTGCATTGGAGATCGGATCTGCTACTGCCTCGGAACTGGGCGAGTGGTTGGAGGGTGAGCGGCCTGCAGAAGAGGAATCTCCCACCAGTGATGCGTGCGTCAGTTCACTGGCTGAATAGCTGGGGGGATCCGGTTGCTTTGGATTCATCCGTGTCTGTTGTTAAGGTATAGTCTTCGGGCCACGTTTCCACCGGCACTGTGTTCGTCAGCCAGGATCGTCCACCCCAAAAAGACAAAGGTCCTCATGGTGAAGTTTGCGATGATGTGCATCCATTGGACGATAAAACCAAGCAGGATTGGGGGGATATGAAGGTCAGTGCAAAAAACACACTAAATATGGCTGTGAATCAAAACCTCCCCAACCAAACCATGGGAGGTTGACATCCCCAATATTCCCCAATGAAGGGATCTGACTCATTTCAGGGGTCACGCAAGGGTGCCCGAGTTTTGACCTACCCTTCTGGGTCAAGTTATTTGCCTACTTCTCATGGGACATATCCTCATTGCCTGTGAGGAGAAACCATTTCCAGCATGATCTGTTCCGGACACTTTAGCACAAGCTGCATCAGAGTCCTTGAAGGCTTTTTCTAGACAGGATTAGACAGGATACGTCGAGCACTGACTTGATGAAGGCGGCTCTTGGGTGGGAAGGGGCACCTTCAGTCATGACTTTAC